ATCTTATTGCATGAAAAATATTTAACCACTTAAATATAGCATGCTATGCGATGTTAGTATGCATTATCCTCTTGGAAGTCTTCCTGCTCACGTAGGAGAAAATAATACTCCAGCATCTTCTTATATAGTATTCGCTTAGATTGGGTTGCTGTAAGTTTTTTGGGCTGTATGGCCATGTTCCAGAAGTATTCTCTGTAGAAGTTTCGCCTGCACCCTATGGCAAACATCCTCAGAGGATGCAAGCAAAATGTCAGGAGAGAATGCTTCTGGAACATAGCCATATAGTCCGAAAAACTTACAGTAACCCAGTGATTCCAGCCATTAAAGCCTTCAACAACACATTTGCTTAGATTATCTGACTGGGATAAAGAAAGTTGCATTTTTATTACATGTAAAAGAAATGAAACCATATGTATTTTATATAAGTATGCTCTAAATCAGTGTTTCTCGAACCATGCTCCTCCAGGTGTTTTTAACTTCAGCTCTCAGAAATCCTAGCCAGCTTATTAGCTATTAGGAATTGTGGGAACTAAATTAACATTTATAGCAAATATTGGAAGATTTACAATAACCAGTAATTACTTTTATCAGAGACTCAGATGCAGTAAAGTATGTAAAATTGTCGCTAAATTGCTTTTTGCTTAGCCGTATTCTGTTCAATTCTTTGTTACTGCTCATTCACCATCAGCAGACAAATTATCAAATGTCTTTGAGCATTTAATATAGCAAGGACAGAAACATTTAGCGGTAGGTCATGGTTGTAACTTCAGTTGGATGCACACTACACAAGTTCACTTACTCTAGTCTAAATGTTGGTGATTTCCATTTACTATTGTGTGTACAACATACTGACCATCAATAAATCCATCCACACCGGTAATTTAATCTTAGAAAGTGACAGAAAGGATCCCATACCCTGAACGTATTCATTGTGGTAGCTGGAATATTGTGTCCAATTCTGGGCACCACAATTCAAGAGATATATTGACAAGCTGTAATGTGTCCAGAGGAGGGCGACTAAAATGATCAAGGGTCTGGAGAACAAGCCCTATGAGGAGCGGCTTAAAGAGCTGGGCATGTTTATCCTGAAGAAGGCTGAGAGGAGACATGATAGCCATGTATACATACGTGAGAGGAAGTCACAGGGAGGAGGGAGCAAGCTTGTTTTCTGCTGCCCTGGAGACTAGGACGTGGAACAATGGCTTCAAAATACAAGACAGGAGATTGCATCTGAACATTAGGAAGAACTACCTGACTGTGACAGCCATTCAGCAGTGGAACTCTCTGCCCCGGAGTGTGGTGAAGGCTCCTTCTTTGGAAGCTTTTAAGCAGAGGTTGGATGGCCATCTCTCAGGGGTGCTTTAAATGAAATTTTCCTGCTTCTTGGCAGGGGGTTGGACTGGATGGCCCATTACGTCTTTTCCAACTCTATGATTCTATGATTCTATCTCAGGTGCAAATATAAAAAGATAATATGTATTCTAGGACAGAGGGCCCGTCCAGAATATCTCTTTTTTCCAGGTGCTCCAGTATCAAAATGAAGGGTGGCCAAATGCCGTTCCCTGAAAATGCGGGAGAAATCACTACAAACAGCAAAAAACATGAGAATTTCAGGTGCTGGAATATCACGGTTATGGCCTGAAAATGTGGGTATTTGAATCTCTATATCGCTGCATTCAGAAAATACAGGATTTTGATGTTGGTTTGTTCCTGGGTTATACATTTTAGTTCCTGATTTGTTGTATCCTAAAAACATGGAAATAATTGGCTAGAGGGCGAAAACTTTCTCCTGGCAAGAGAAACTTTGTCCTCCACACGTTTAATGAAATTTGTGACACATAAACAAAGGTTTTGCCATGTAATCAACTTTCTCCATGTTTTTTATGATAAAAGCAATGAGGAATAATGCAGGAACATCACTCCATAGTTCCCGGGCACAATTAAACGGCCAAACTTGCCTGCACAGATGGCCACGCAGCCAATATAACCCAGGAATTGAATTTATACAATGGTTCACATAGTTGCTTATTTGCATCTTAAGTTTCTTTTTAAAAACCACCGAAGTTCCTGGCTGATTTCTTGGGAGCCTCTAAATCCTGCAACAAAGCAGCAAGTGTGGACGACGGAGGCAAAAATCCCAGGACCAACTGATCTGTATGTGGAACTGCTCTCAGGTCCCAGGTTTTTTTCCAAACTAAAACCTGCAATTTGATGCTGTCTGGAACCACCCTGAGATGCCATATATATATTGCACTCCTTACTTAGATGTGCAATGTGTGAATTTGCTTAAAATCACCAGTCAACTAACAGCAACCTCATAAATTTCATAGGGTGTTCTTAGGCAAGGGGTACTCAGAAGTGATTTTGGCAATTCCTTCCTCAGAAATACCCTCTTCAGAAACAATTGCCATTCTCCCATACAGGTAATAACCAGAGCTGACTCTGCTTAGCATCCAAATTCAGACAGGATTTGGTGCCTTAAGGAAACTCAGCAGGGTTTAAGTCAGGGGTCCTCAAACTAAGGCCTGGGGGCCGGATACGGCCCTCCAAGGGCATTTACCCGGCCCTCGCTCAGGGTCAATCTAAGTCTGAAACGACTTGAAAAGTCACAATAACAACAATCTTATCTCATCAGTCAAAAGCACGCCCACACTTCCCATCGAAATACTAGTAAGTTTATATTTGTTAAAATTGTTCTTCATTTTAATTATTGTATTGTTTTAAAGTGTTTTTGCACTACAAATAAGATATGTACAGTGTGCATAAGAATTCATTCATTTTTTTTCCAAATTATAATCCGGCCCTCCAACAGTTTGAGCGACTGTGACCTGGCCCTCTGTTTAAAAAGTTTGTGGACCCCTGGTTTAAGTTCTGAGCAGATGCACAAAGGACTATGCTGTTAAATATGCAGCAGACCTATAATAAGAAAGATGTAAACTATGTTCAAGGCCTATAACATACATTTCACACAGCTACTCAATGCATGCTTTGTGCATAAAGACAATATCTAATGTGAACTGCAGCCTAAGTAGGTTTTCCTGCCAAGTTATTCTGTACCAGATGATAATTGTTAGTATCCCCAATGCAGCTTTTCATATCATAATAAGAAGCTTAAGAGCTGGAAAGGACCTCATGAGCTAGGGAGTCCAATACATTGCTCAATGCAGGTACTCCAACTAAAACATCTCTAACAGTAGCAGTCGCGCCTCTTTTTGAATTCAATACACTTACATTTAATTTTTGTTTCACTATTTTAAGTGAAACAAAACTATTTTAAGTGAAACTGGTGGCGCAGTGGGTTAAAGCACTGAGCTGCTGAACTTGTTGACCGAAAGGTCATAGGTTCCAATCTGGGGAGCAGTGTGAGCTTCCGCTGTCAGCCCCAGTTTCTGCCAATCTAGCAGTTCAAAAATACGCAAATGTGAGATCAATAGGTACCGCTCTGGCAGGAAGGTAACAGCGCTCCGTGCAGTCATGCCAGCCACATGATCTTGGAGGCATCTATGGACAACGCCAGCTCTTCACCTTAGAGACTGAGATGAGCACCAACTCCCAGAGTCGGACACGACTGGACTTAATGTCAAGGGAAAACCTTTACCTATTTTAAGTAGTATTTATTTATCGTGGCAGGAGCAACCAGACAGTTGTATTACATTTTTAACAGAACAAACGAACAGACAAAACACAAAGTTTGCAAGCTTGGTAGTTGTTTAAGTGTCCTTTGACCAGTATCTGGCCACTTGGAGTGCCTCTGGTGTTGCTGCAAAAAGGTCCTCCATTGTGCATGTGGCAGGGCTCAGGTGCATTGCAGCAGGTGGTCAGTGGTTTGCTCTTCTCCACACTCGCATGTCATGGATTCCACTCTGTGGCCCCATTTCTTAAGGTTGGCTCTGCATCTCGTGGTGCCAGAGAGCAGTCTGTTCAGCACCTTCCAAGTCACCCAGTTTTCTGTGTGCCCAGGGGGGAGTCTCTCATTTGGTATCAGCCATTGATTGAGGTTCTGGGTTTGAGCCTGCCACTTTTCGACTCTCGCTTGCTAGGGTGTTCCAGCAAGTGTCTCTGTAGATCTTAGAAAACCATTTCTTGATTTAAGTCATTGACATGCTGGCTATTTAAATCACTATTTTAAGTAGTGATTTCAGTGTTTTAGATAAAATGCAATTGCATAGTTACATCACTGTTTTTCAAGCCAACTTGGCCAACAAAGATTATTGGGTGGTGTAGTGCAAGATATAAACATGGCAAACAACATCTTTTGATACTGATGTCTGAGGTACAATTTTAAGTCTAATATATTAAAAATGGGAGCATTGAACAGCAGCACAAGGTAAAATTAACATGCAACATTTTCTTTCAAAATATGATTTATTTCCCCATAAGGCCAGAGGAAAGAACTTTCTAGCTAGTACTAAATCAATACTGAGGCACAAAACATCTTGCAATCAAATTCAAATAAATATTAGAAGGGAATCATGGGACTGCTATGTTTGCCCACATGTGATGATCCTGCTCTTTGGGAGAAGAATTTTGCGACACTTTCAAAGATGACAAAATAAACTTACATCATGTCAACAAAACTCTGATGTTTTCTCTATATAATTTATTTTAAGGTGTTTCCAAACTTAGTTTTTTGGGTGAAACAGTCCTGTTTCATTCACAGGGCTATATGCACAATGTTCTTACTGGCGGCATTTTTTCCCCATCACATCCTTTGGAGTTTTCTGTCTTTTTCCTTCAGAGACATTCCATTAAGAAAAGGTAGCTCTAGGTAGGCACCTCTTATCTGGAAGCAGCTCTAAACCCTTCAAGAGTCAATATGAGCAACAATGGTAACCCACTGGAAACATTAAGTGGATTTATCAGGATTTGACTGCAGACAATTTGGGTCAATATATTAACCATGTGAAAACTGTTACTGATCATGTGAGACCTAAAACATTTTGTGTAATATGGGACATATTTTTCTGCAGCATTTTAGTGCTTCATTCCAAATAAAATCATTCAGATTGTTATAAAATTTTAATGACCCTTTTTTTTTGCGGAGGTCAGTTTGTACATTTTGCAATTCTGTATCTCAATGTATTGTTTCTCTTTTCTGTAATCATATTATGTTTAGTCCATAATAAATTTCCTGAGGTGAAGAAATTATAAAGTGCCCAAGAAGTCGTGCTTCCTCTCTTTCACTCTACAAAACAGTAGAATTCAAGTTTTAGTCTTTGCTCAATAAACACAAGTCATTAAACTTGGTCTTCGCCTTAGAAGAGAGAACCTTGCCTGTAGTAAATCTCAGAGCACGCAGACCTTTTTTGCACATCAGTCCATTCATTATTTGGTCCAAAGGCAGGCACAGGTTTTGAGGGACAATGTGAAGAATGTTCACTGGCTTTCCAAGCCTTGGCACTTTCAGGCAAAGTTACAGAGTCTATTTCCTTCCCTGCCACCCATCTCAACCCCAGCCAGAACTCATCTTTAACACTAAAATAACTCATTAAAGTTATTCATGTTTTGGCAGAAGGTTTACGGCTATGTTCTTTCCCTTTCTTCTTGATAACTGACCAAACAAGATTCAATTCTGAAGAGAATGAGCTTGTAGCTCCAGGTTCTTTAGAAGTTTCTAGCTGCCAATCTCACAATTTTATGTGTCCCTCTGGAAAGGTGAAGGTTCCAAAATATGGACATCTCAGTCATCCGTCACAACAAATGGTGCTTCGTGTCTTCCCAAGGGCTTAGTCTTTTTGTGGTGAGCAGCTGGGCCATTCCACTTAAGAGCATCAAGAAGATGGTGATGGACATCACAAGAACATAATGGCTAATGCTGCAACAGAGAGAAAGTATGGGTGAAATGGACGCATATTACAATGTGAACAAAGCGAAAAGAAAGTATTTATTTACTTATTAAAGGAGGGATGCATATACTAATACAGCAATACAGACAGAATAAACAGTAAGGTTTTCTTTTTGAAGATGTGGATTTTAATTGCTCAGAGAAGTACAGAACTGTATTATCGAAGGCTAACTAAGGACCAGGAAAGCACATCTACTGTGCTCTCTGACTTTCCTTCTATTCTGCAGAGACACAGATACTATCCCACAATTTCTCGCAGCCAAAAGGACTTTCAAAACACCACATGCTCACCATAACTATGACCGCCTGGAACGCAATCTCTTACGAGACAGAATTACAGATATATAAACCCAATTTTCCTAGTTTCCAACAAACCTCACAATCGCTGATGATGCTTGCCACAGATGCAGGTGAAACATCAGGAGAAAATGCTTCCAGAACATGGCCATACAGCCCAAAAAACCTACAACAACCCTCTTTCAGAACTGCTTTCAATGCCAAGGTTACCTGAACCACCCTGTCAACATGACTGCTACAGGGCTACCACATATACATTTTGAGCACATCAGTATAAATGTCCCTAAGTAGTCCATGTATTGTCATCCTGTGTACGCAAGAACTTTTTAATAGTTGCTTCAACCTCTGCTGGACTCTCAGAAGTGATTTTTTTATTTCTCAAAATTATGCTTTAATCTGTGAACTACCAAACAAGGGAAATGGTCATAAACACACATAAAGCTGAGTCAGGACTACAAAGAATGCAGTTACTTCCAAATAGGGTCAGAGATGCTGCCATAACAACTGGACTGTTCATATACATATATTACACTATGCAACATGTTTTTTGTTCCTGGGTTAAAAATGTTATTTCCTAATTGGTTGTGTCATAAAAATAAAAAAAAAGGTTTATTAGATTGCAGAACATTTTGCTATAGTTTTTCAATGAGTATCTCATAGAGTCTCAACCAATTCAACATAGTTTGTGGCAGCCACAAAACAAAGTTTAGATTTATGTTATTATAGAATTTTGAATGATTATGTGTGGTTTAATTTATTGATGTCTGGTTTAATTTACCAATGTTAGGTCTTAATTTGATGTTAGGCTTTAATGTTACTTTTATATATGGGGTTTTTCTGGGATTTTATGTTAGTATCATGTGTTTTATGTAGGCATTGAATGTTTGCCATTCTTATGTTACAATTCGCCCTCAGTTCCCTCAGAGAGATAGGGTGGAATACAAATAAAGTTATTATTATTATTATTATTATTATTATTATTATTATTTTACTGACACAAAAACACAGTATGTCACAGCAAATGAGATCTATATGCTGGATTTCATATCACAAAATCACAAGTCGAACACTTCCCAAGCATCTAGGACTGTGTGATGTATTTTTGAATGATGCGTGCAGATCCAAGTAAGGTGGCCTTTTGCAGTTGTCAGATCGTGATTTTGTCAATTTTATTGTTTCCAAATGCCGGCTGAGATCTTTTGGCATAGCACCCAGTGTGCCGATGACCACTGGGACCACCTGTACTGGTTTATGCCAGAGCCTTTGCAGTTCGATTTTGAGGTCCTGATAGCGGCTGAGTTTTTCCTGTTGTTTTTCCTCAATGCGACTGTCACCCTGTATGGCAACATCAATAATCCAAGGTGGCACCCACTGGGAGGGATTATTATTATTATTATTATTATTATTATTATTATTATTATTACTACTACTACTACTATTCAGATTAGGTACCACACAATTAAACAGGAAATAACACTTTCAAACCAGGAACAGACGTCTTTCAAATTTTGTCACATAGTGTTATTTGAGAAGACTTAGCAAACAAAATAACTAAGATTGTGCCCCCCCCCCCCCCCGGCCACCCATTCACCAAGGGCTAATATCCATTTGTAGCACAGCAGAGTTCTCATTATACTTAACCTGGTATCTCCAGCAAACAAAGTCTAAATGAATTTTCCCATTTGAGGGCCCCATGAGACTGGAAAGTGCATGTGAATCATCAGCAAATTAATTGTACATGAAGCAAAGGAAATAGGAGCTCTTGCTAACGGGAGGGAAAGAATGGGGTTTTTTCCCCGTTATGTTAAATAAGCCATTAACTTTTCTTAGAATAGACTCGGAGTTTGCTGTCCAGCATCAATATAACTATGCAGAAATTGCAAATTGAAGTCCACGTTGCTACTGCCACCACCGTTCCCTGACTTCCATAAAGAAGGTACAAGTTCAGAAGCTGATAATATTCAATCTGGTTTGTCAAAGTGCAAAAAGCATTGCTTCAACAGCCTGGTCAGCACCCCTTGGACTCTGCAGTTCAGAGGGTTGCTCACAATAAACTGATAACACAAGGCTCCTGTGGGAGAAAAACCTAATCTTCCAACCCAGCTGTTCATACTCAATTCGTTTCCTGCAATTTGGGAGGGCTGAAATATGGAGCTTTCGACCAAGTTTTACACTCAGAGAGCTATATCCTCAGCCTCACTTGCCTCCCCGATGTACAAGCTGCCAGGAATGGATAAAGCGTGACCTTCTGAATTCACAAAGCAAGTTTGTTTTTGTTGCCTTTCTATTTTTTTTTTAAGTAAAATCAAGCAGATCCGTTGATGAATATTCTAATTCCTCTTTTAATCCTTTGAGAACTTGGATGAAATTTTAATTAGTTTGAATAATTAAAAAGAGTTCATGACTTGACTGTTTGTTCGTTCGTACGGAGCCAAAAGTTCAAACTACATAGCCCCAGAGCATCTACTCAGTCCCCGGAAAATATCTGTTGTCTCTCATAGAATACGACTAAATGCCAGGCACACAACTGAGATTGCAAATTCAATAGTCAATAGCAATTTATACTTGACTGAGTTGATTCTTGGGTGTTTAACCAAAACATTTTGCTTCCTGAAGCAGAGTTACAACAGTCTCTCCTCTCATCAGAAGAGGGGAATATAAAAACCAGGCAAGTTATTTCTGGCGGTATAAGCACAACCACCATGACAGTGAACCACTTCCTTCCTCTTCATGAAACGGATCAATGCTCTGATGTTTGTCTCTTTAATCTACTTTTCAAATATCAGTGGTTCTCAACTTGAAGGTCCCCAGATGTTTTGGCTTTCAACTCCCAGTAATCCTAACAGCTGGTAAACTGGCTGGGGTTTCTGGGAGTTGTAGGTCAAAACACATGGGGACCCACAGGTTGAGAGCCACTGCCCTAGATTCTCTCTTCTCCACCCACTCATATTTATCCTCATCTTCCTTCAGGAAGGAGACAACAGAGACACATTACTGATTTCTTAATAGGCTTAGGCAGATTTCCTATGAAGCTTCATAGGAAATCTGCTACAAAACAGGAGCTTTTTTGTTGAGTTCCAGGACCAGAGAAGCAGATGGTGAAAACAGAAGAATGGCCTGCCTCAGGGGAGCGTCCTTGCTCCATCAATGTTTCACATTTACACAAGTGGTCAGCCACTGCCAGAAGGGACAGAGAGTTTCATCTATGCTGATGATCATGCCATCACCACTCAAGCTTTGAAATGGTTGAAAAGAAGCTCTCTGAAGCTTTAGGTACTCTTACTGCATATTACAGGAAAAACCAGCTAATTCTTAATCCATCTAAAACACAGACATGTGCTTTTCATCTTAAGAAAAGACAAGAATTCTAAAGAATTCCACTGAAGCATTGCAATACACCAAAATACCTGAAAGTCACTCTGGACCATGCACTGACTTATAAGAAGCACTGCCTGAATATCATGCAAAAAGTGGGTGCTAGAAATAATATTGTATGAAAGCTGACGGGCACAACCTGGAAATCAGAACCAGACACAGTGAAGACACTTGCCCTTCTGCTTTGCCACTCTGCTGCTGAATATGCATGCTCAGTGTGGAAAACATCTCATCTTTTAATGAGACATGCTGCATTATCATAGGATGTCTACGCCCGACACCACTGGAGAAATTACACTGTTTAGCTCAGTGGTTCTCAACCTGGGGGTCCCCAAGTGTTTTGGCCTACAACTCCCAGAAATCCCAGCCAGTTTACCAGCTGTTAGGATTTTTGGGAGTTGAAGGCCAAAATACCTGGGGACCCACAGGCTGAGAACCATTGGTTTAGCTGGTATGGCACAACCTGACATTCACCGGGAAGTTGCAGCCAGCAATGAAAGGACCAAGGCACAATAACTACAACTATTTGAACCCATCCTCTGTTCAAATATCAGTCAGCATGTCAATGCCTGAAATAATAATAATAAAAAACAGCTTCCTAAGATCTACAGAGACACTCACAGGAACACCTCAGCAAGCGGGAGTCCAAAAGTGGCAGGCTAAAACCCAGAACCTCAATCAGTGGCTGAGACTAGATGAGAAAGTCCCTCCTGAGCACATAGAAGGCTGGACAACTGGGAAGGCACTGAACAGATTGTACTTTGTTCCCACGAGATCCAGAGCTAATCTTAAGAAATGGGGCTACATAGTGGAGTCCATGGCATGCCACTGTGGAGGACAGCAAACCACAGACCACCTACTACAATGTGGCACAGCATATTATTTCAGAACACAGAATTGTTGGACCACTCTAACAACTACCATGTCAGACTACACAGAGAAGTCACTGAAATCCACAAGCATGTGGACAATTTTAACAAAAAAGGAGAAAACCATGAAAGTGAACAAAATCTGGCTACCAGTATGAAAAAACTCTAAAATCTGGACCGTAAATAAAGAACAACACTCAGAAAACAGGAGAATTCCAAGCATGACATGATCAGGGCCAGCTAACACCTCCCAACAAAGGAATACCCTGGGCAGGAAGCAGCCAGGCTTTGAAGCTATAAGGCCATTTAATGCCAATCAAGACGGTCAATTGCAACACTCACACCTGCCTCAAACAGACAAAGAGTTATTTCTCCCACCCTGGACATCATTCCACAGGTCTATAAACCCCACTTGCCTACTTTCTAACA